CTCTCTCTCTCTCTCTCTCTCTGTGTGTGTGTGTGTGTGTGTGTGTGTGTGTGTGTGTGTGTGTGTGTGTGTGTGTGTGTGTGTGTGTGTGTGCCTGCCTGCTGTCTTGTGACTGCTTCGATACGATTTGGATTTCACTTTCATTAGTTGTCTTCGTCCATCGTGACGATGTAAGGGGGGGGGGAGGAGAGGGAGAACGTAACATTTTGGGAAAAGTTATAAAAGTCGCCAGCGACGAAACGTTTTGTCTTCATTTGAATACAAAGGTTTCGTCGCGGGGGACTTTTCCAACTTTTCCAGAACATCTCAGATCATCTCGAGCTGGACAGTGCCGCTACTCCTCAGCCATTCTTCACGTTGAGCCCTTAAGCGCGTACCATTCACAACTCCTTGACGACAACGGAAATCAGACGTACAAATCGGCCTGTGGTGGGACGATACTCGCTGCTCACAAGTCGTAGCTTTAATCTCAGCTCTGCATTTAGTGTGTTTAGGACAGATGCGTACTTGATTAGCAAGTGGGTTTTAATCCGGGTTGGCCAATCGGGTTGCACTGCTCTTCGCCCAGTCGATACCATGGCAGTCGGCAACAGCCTGAAGGTGAGAAGGCACTCCTTTTTTTTTTTTTTTTTAAAGCTGAGAAGCCACTAATACTCTTAAGACACATAGTATATGTATGATTCCAGTTGGGATCCGGCCGTGCAGTGGACGCCGGAGCCGGGTCAGCATCTGGACCCCCTTAAATTCCAGCCGAAAAGGCTGTCACGTTGCGTATATACTTTCTGGAACAATATTTATGCACGCAGGGTCATCATCACGTACTTCGACTTTCATTCAGGCGCACCAATGGCATCTCATTCGCGTAACGAGATCATTTGCTTTCATGCTCGTCCTTTCACTCACTTAAGACGCATGTGTTAGATATCACAATGCAGAAGAAAGGCTGCAATAGACTGTGAGAAGACTAGAGATCTCTCTCTCACGACTTCACTCTCCCCGGGACGGGATGAGTTGAGGGACTACAGGAGCTGCGCGCGGGATGGTAGGTAGGTGGTTCTCAGACTGGAGCTATTGCATAGTCACAGTGGGTTGACTTCGCTGCTTCATTCGAGATTTTGACAGATTGTAGCTTTAGCCTTTTGGAACAGACTTGGAGTTCGACTCCGGTAAAACACACAGAAGAGTGTCGAGCGGAAAAACACAACAGACACTGAGTCTCAAACTCAATCGAAAAATTTAATGAAAGCCAACAGTAATTACGAATTAGACGTTAGACATAGTAAAGGACATCCGAATGACCCTACCGTCTTCCGCCGAACACAACGCACCCTTATTTTGACTGTATAGGGCCGGAAACATACCTTGTATGCGTTCATTTTCCGGGTGCGTTATGCTCGGGGGAGACGGTAGTACTTCGTTCGAGCATGCCTGACCTCTTTCGGCATGTGCCAAACCAATGGAGGGGGGAAGATGGCCTGCCTTTAGGTACCCACCACTTGCAGAAGTTGCAGTGCTTGCACTCGCCTGGCCCAGGGCCTTGTCCAGGGCCTGATCCAGCATGCCATCCGGTACTGAGTCCTGCTGGCGAGGGGCTACAGTCTTCCCCCGAATACAACGTACGGTCGTTAGAGCTGAGTTTAGACTGAAAGATGCCCCAAATTCAGCTACAATGACCGTACGTTGTAGTCGGGGGAAAGACTGTAGTCTTCCTTCGGGGTATTTGTCGACGTGGCCACAGTGCGGCCGTGAGGTGTTCAGACCGGACAGCAGGATGACCCCGGTGTAGGAGGAACCTTTGTTTCCTCGTCCGGCATAATTTATTTTTGGTATTTGCCTACCTGAGCTTCTTAGAATCATTCTCTTTTTTGGGTCCCCGTCGGATTTGCTGGGATTAGTCTCGTGTTTTTGTTCTTGCTTGTGTACTCAGTTTTTCATATTCTTTTGTCGTGTTGTCCGTTCCCCCTTTAACAGCCATGTCTATATTTTTTGAACGAGATAGAACCCACTTTTTTGGCCCTGAAAATGCGACCGTTTTGGCTGCTTGGGATCCCCCTTGAATGTACCTGAACTTCAGTTAAGGCCAAATGGAACCCAGGAGATAAAAAGGTGATATTTTTTGGGCCAAAGACAAAGGTTCCAATTTCGTTCGAAAAATATAAAATGTCCGTTTTGACGAAATAGCTCTTCTTTCGGCTCTGAGGTTCTCTCGTTTTGTCCAGTATACCAGTCTATGAATAGATATATCACCTTCCTCGTGCTAGCATACTGTCTTGCATTTGCACAACTATGTGCATCTATGCATCTCAGAAACATATTAATCCCAATGTATTGTGTAGATAGTCATCCATCCACAGTGAACCGAAACAAAAAGAGTACAAAAATCAATGTCGACCCTTTGCCACTTCCCCAGGGCGGGGTCCCATTTAGTACCCGAATTCTCGATTTTTGGCTGTCTATTCTGAAGATCAAGGGCAGCAAATGAAGAATCGGCCCAAGCGGGGACTTGGCGCTCGGGGGTTGCCCTTCTGTATCCCCATCGTTTTTGTTTTTCCTTTTCTGAAAACTCCATCCACGTCAGCAGACAGGAGTGATGGTAGAGCATGCACGCCTACCCATCTTGCAGGGGGGTCCATTCTATTGGTAGGGAGCTACACCTTCTCAAAGGCGGGTCCAGAGGCCCCTGAGATACAATGTTGACAATCTTGAGATGATAAACACATAATGTTGAGATGATAAAACAGCACGTGATGGGAACCGGGCCCAGCGTCCCTCATCATGTCACTGATGCTAGTGATAGTAAGACACCGATGATGAAGATACGGATGATAATAAGCCTGCTGCTGCTGCTTCTGCTGCTGCTGCTGCTGCTGCTGCTGATGATGATGATGTTAATCTAAGATGATCTATAGAAAATTATGAACTACATCAACAAAAAATGGCCTCACAATCCATGAGCAACTCCTTGCCTCCCTTTTACCAGACCCAACACCTCCCAGGACGAAATCATAAGATCACCGATACCAGCCATAGCTGTTGTGTTCTCACTACCAAGACTATACCTGGTACCTTAGGTTGTCTTGGCAGCCCTCCCCAGTTTGCCACTGGATTGCCTTCCTCCCTCTACAAATCCCCCAGATCTCTGTACCAGGCCTCATGCTCCTGCTAGAAACAGGTCACAGGGCAAACGCCCCAGCACTGGCCAACGCCGTTCTATCATCGGCAAACCAAGAGCACAAAACACGACAACTCTAGCTGCTCTACAAGGCAGCACCCAGTGTGACGCTCAACCTCACGCCCTGCACTGCTTCCCGGTTGCAACGTTTTGGTCTGCGGAAGGGCCCCGGGACGACAGCGAAGATGGGGTGTGCCAAGGATTTTTGGAAAAATTGAGTGTGGGGACACAGACAGAACTGAAATCCCCCGTGTTGGTCCGATTTTCGTAAGGAGGTCCGTCGCCACGTGGGTTTAAGGCAGAAAAAGTGCGCGCGTGGACTCGTGGCTATGGGAAATTCAATCCAAAAAGTATCGCTGAAACTTCCCAACAAGCCGTCGCTCTTCGTTTCGCGTGAAAGAGGGCGGGTACACACGTGGTATCCTGTTTACGGATGGGTCTCACCGGCGCTCGTTACACAACTCCGAATCCGATGTGGAGGGCTTCAATCGAGTAGCCCTCTCCTTATGCTTATCCTCGCCACGTGTGCGGTAGTGGAAACCCTTGACTCGGTAACACTCGAAGCGCCAACAATTGCTGCACAGAGTGTTAGGCCAATGGGGCTCCACTGCCGTCCACGGGACGACGATCAACTCGTTAAATGGCAACAACAACGAATAGGGCGGAAAGTGCGTATCAACTGTAACAAAACCCGCACCGACGAACCCAGAACACCGAGTTTCGGGAGGAAAGTAGTAGTGCCCACTGATTTTGGCGACGGTTTCTCGCACGTCCCACTCGCATACACGTGTCCTTTCCTCGTTGAACGGGAAGGGGCGTGGTGGGGGTACGGGAAGTTGGCGCCCCGTCGGGTTGAGGCCGTCAGTCCACATGGCAACAAAAGCAAGTACAAAAAAAAATTCTTAATCACACATCATTCGTTCGGCACTCCAAACAGCCAAATCATTCAGTCGATTAACTAATCATCCTC